GCCATGCAAAGTGTCAGGACGGAAAGGAATCCGTGTGGCCCTGAGCAGGAGGGAGCCTGGGTGTCTAAAGAAGGCCCAGCAGGTGTACTGGAGCTGAAACTGACAGAGAGGGGGATAGAGCAGATGAGGGTAGGAGGGAGGACAGGCCCAGATCCCACTGGGCTACATGTACTGCTGTATTAAGATTTACATCTTAACATCAGGGGACGTCACTGAAGGTTTACTTAGGGATGACAGGACCCAATGTGTTTTAAATTAGCAGCTGCTGTGTAGGACACAGACTGGGGGCAGTGACAGGGCATGAGTAGAATACAGCAGTGCTCCGGGCAGAGGAGATGGAGAAGAGAAAAGGTGCCAACAAGCAGGATTCCATGGGGCAGCCCCAGGCCAGCTTTCACATTTACTTCCTCCTTTGTTCTTCATGACAGGGAACTAGCCCCACTGAGAAAGTGGCACAGTGCTGGTCTGACTCCAGAGCCTGGGCCCCAACCCCGAGATCCCCAGCTGAGCAGGATTAAGTGCACCCCAGAGGGAAGCCCAGTAAACTGGAAGTGGAAGGTCTACCCTCAGCACACAGGTCTGTCCTCTTCACAGTGTCAGGAGTAACAACTCAACTCACTGCTGGTCTGATGACGAATGGGGGGCCTCTCTCCCTACCAGGGCCGTCCTCTGACCCAGAGTGGTGTTTACAGCTGGAGGATATCTGAAGTCCCCGCTGTTCACAGACACCCTGAGATGCCCCCCCCCCCCCCCCCGATCTTTCTCTTATTCTAATTCCCTGTGCCTCCATTTCACTATCATTATCCCTATTTAACAGGTGAGGAACTGCCTCCTAGAAATGTTTTTGTTTTTAAATATATTTTATTGATTTTTTACAGAGAGGAAGGGAGAGGGATAGAGAGTTAGAAACATCGATCAGCTGCCTCCTGCACACCTCCTACTGGGGAAGTGCCCGCAACCCAGTTACATGCCCTTGACCGGAATCGAACCTGGGACCTTTCAGTCCGCAGGCCAACGCTCTATCCACTGAGCCAAACTGGTTAGGGCTCCTAAAAATGTTTTGAGGATGAGTTAATATATATAAAGATCTTAGAACAGGGTGTGGCCAACAGAGAATTAGTTTTAGTTATCCTTTTACTTATTCAACAAGCATTTACTGAATGCTCCCAGCACATATAAATATACAGGTGCTATGGAGGAAAAATAGCAGGGTAAGGGTAAGAGATATGGGGCCAAGGCAGGACACTCTGAGAAGGTGACATCTGAGCAGAGACCCCATGGAGTCAAGGAGAGAATCGTAATGATATCTGGGAGAAGAAGATTCTAAGCAAAGGGAACAACAAGTGCAAAGGTCCTCAAGTAGAAAGTGTGTTTGGCCTATTTAAGGAACAGTGAGGAGACCAGTGTGGCTAAAGTGAGGACACTAGTGGTAGGAAATGATTCTGGAGAGGGGGCCAGATCATGTAGGACTTTGTAGAATATAGCATTGACTTTGTGGTTTATTCCAAGTGGGACTAAAAGCCACTCACTTTTAAGAAGAGAAATTACATTATAAGATTTACATCTAAAAGATCACACTAATGTAATACACTATTAAGCATACCTGCCAAGACCAGGGTCTACAAACTTCTGTATATCGCCAAACTAAATATTTTAGGCTTTGCAGGCCACATGGTCTCTATCACAACGACTCAACTATACCACAGTAGGGAAAAAGCAGCCATGGGTATGGTTGTGTTCCAATAAAACTTTATTTACAAAACAGGAGGCTGAGCTATAGTTTGCCAATCCTGCTCCAGACTTAATTCCCGGTTTACAGGAAATATGGGTACAGAAGACCAAAGTAAACAGTGCCAAAAGTCAGTAAGATAACATGTCCATAGTGTGGCATTCTACAAGACAACTAGCCTGGTTTACCTAAAAAAAAATCAAAGTCATGTGGGGGAAAAGGGAAAGGTCTGAACTACATTAAAATAAGCCAAAAAGACAACATGTACCTTGAATAAATCCTGCTTTACAAAATAGCATTTTGAGGACAACTGGGGAAATTCAAGTATGGCATGGCTATGGGGAGGATGTTACTAGATATCCTATATAATAAAAGGCTAATATGCAAATCAACCACAGTGGACTGACCAGTTGCTATGACACGCACTGACCACCAGGGGGCAGATGCTCAACACAGGAACTGCCCCCTGGTGGTCAGTGCGCTCCCATAGGGGGAGCACCGCTCAGCCAGAAGCTGGGCTCCCACCTCTAGGGCAGTGCTAAGGATGTCCCACTAACGGCTTAAGCCGTCAGTCAGACATCCCCCGAAGGCTTCTGGACTGCTAGAGGGCGCAGGCCAGGCTGAGAGACCCCAACCCCCGTGCACAAATTTTGTGTACTGGGCTTCTAGTATATTATAAAGAATCACCTCAGATGTGATAATGATACCATGATTCTGTAGGAGAATGTCCTTATTCTTAGGAGATGCCTGCTGAGGTATTAAGGAGGTAAGTGTCATATATGAACAGAAGTTCAAGATTCAGCATGAGGCAAACATGACAAATGCTGAATTGCTGACTCAGGGCACAGGAATCTGAACCTTTTTAAAAATATCTTTATTGTTGAAAGTATTACATATGTCCCCCTTTATCACCCTGGACCTTCATTTATTATACTAAATGTGCACTGGAAATAAGTTGGCAGGGTGGGGCTCAGGGAATCCCTCTAGCTGCCCAGGAGAGCCAACTGGGGAGCAGGAGAGGCTACCAGGAGCAGTGAGCAGGCCACTGCAGCATCTAGGCAAGGACCAGCCACCAGTGTGGCCCCTGTCAGCTCTCTGCCGCCACCCCCCACCTCTCTCCAGGCTTGGGCCTATGTGGCTGGGGCAGTGAGGACAGCCCACAGCAGAGCAGACTCCCTTTCACTGGGTTTCTGGCTCACGCCTCACTGGGATAAAGGTCAGGAAGCTGGGGTTTGCTCTCAGAGTAGCCCCAGCCCCACGGCCCTATCCCCCAGTCTTCAGAAAGGGACTTCCCCACACTGAAGGTCATGGTATCTTATTAAAATGAAAACCAGAGCAGGTCTCTTGCCTACGAAAACACTTCGCCAGCTCCCCACGGCTCCTTTTCCCGGCTTGCACACTGTGTGCCAGGTACCGCTGAATCAAGGGCTTCCTGTTTGTCAGCCCCTTGAACCTTTTAGCAACCTGTGACAAACGCCAACTGAGTCACCACCTGCCAAGCCCCTGGGGATCTCCACTGGGAGTCCAGGCCCTGGCTGAACTCACCAGCTTTAAGGTTCTCCACTCCTCCCCTCCCAAAACCTCTGGTGCTTGATTCTTTGGTGACACAAAACCCTCGATGTTCCTGGAATGACAAGCTATCTCACCTCCAGGCCTCTACATATGCTGGTCCCTCTTCCTGGAGTCACCTTCTCCTTCCTATCTCTGTGGCCAACTCCTTCCTACCTATACTTTCAAAACTAGCCAACACTCAGGTCCTATGCATTTATTGGTCTTAATTGGCTTTTACTGACAGTCTATGTTTTGGTTCCCAGTTTTCAGCTGAGTAACCTCAGCTGGCTTGAGATGGTAATTCTGTTCCCCTTGAAGGGGCAAATATATTTTTGATCTTGGGAAGGTATGCAACAATAATTACAGTATAGATTGTGGTAATATGTCTTGTGATACTGTTTTGTGTATGCTCTAGAAATGCACTGTCTGTGAGTATAGCCACTAGTCATATGTGGCTATTTAAATTTAAATTAATTAAATAAAAGAATTTTATTCCTCAGTTGCACCAACCACATTTCAAATGCACACGGGCACCTGCTTGGGCACTGCAAGTATAGAACATTTTTATCATAGCAGAAAATTCTCTTGGATGGCACTGTTTTGGGTTCTCCAGAGGGTCAGCTGAATCCTTATCCAGAGACAAGTTAAAGGAGTATTTCTCAAAGAGAGGCTCAAAGGGATAAAGTAGGGGCAGGGGGGAATATTTGCCACTCATTACAAAGGGTTAAGCTTCCTAAAGCATAAAGAGCTTTCAGAAATAAATAAGAAAAAAGACTACCCAATAGGAAAATAGGCAAAGGATATGAACAGGCAGTTCAGAAAGAGAAATTCACATGGCCCTTGAATATATGGAAGGAACTCTAACCCAGAGGAAAGGCCAATGAAAACCACCCTGAGGTGCCATTTCTCACTGATCAGATTGGTAAAAATCCAAACATCTGAAAACACAACGCTGTGTGGACTCTTAGACATAGCCTAATAGAAACATTTCTCAACATTACAAATACATATCCCCTATAACCCAGCAAGCCTCCATCTAAGAATTCATCTTACAAATTTAGCAGCACATATGCCAACAAGACAAACACAGGTACCGCACTGTGGCATTGCTTGTAATGAGCCAAAGGTTGGAAACAAGCCCAGTGACCATCCATAAAGAATTGCTCTACGAACGAAGGAGCATACAAGTGCAGCTGTTTAAAAAAAAACAAAAATGCAGCAGCAGCTCACTACAGACTGAAGCAAGAGCATTCCCCAAGACAAATTAAGTAAAAGAGCTCGAGTGCATGTACAATGCTACCTTTTGTGTAACAAGGAAAAACCAGGGGAGTCGGGCGTGAAAGGCTCTACCGGAGTGAGCGAGCCCGCCCCTCCGGAAGAAGCTCTTGGAGGGCACATAAGGAGAGCAGTTAACTTGGAGGTGGGACAGAAGGGAGAGGGAAGCTAGACACCTTCCTTATACTGTATGATTTTTAAACTAGGTAAACCTGTATCATCTCTTCTGATTAAGTCTCTGATCGCCTGCCTCAAAAGCAATGGAGATGCACATTAACAATGCAGCTCCCTGACCCTCCACCCATCTCCAGATATCAGAGGCCCTGATGTGGCCTGAGCTCCACCTGTTAAAAACTGGGGTACAGGGGAGTCTGCCCATCTGTACCCCTTCCCCTCATCAGGCCTGCCACTCTCAAAGGGCAGCCACACAGAGGCTCAGACTCGCCTCTCATCTGGAGAGTCTACATGGAAGGTCCTCTCGATGACTGTGGTCCACTGCAAGCAGCGTATGACAAACGTGTTGGGCCGCGGTCTCTCGGTCTTCATCAGCTGGCATTCTGTAGGCAGAGGAAGGACAGAGACAGGAGGGTAAGGGGACAGCCCTGCTGGCCTACAGCCCACATCCCCTAAGTCACATCCTGTGTGCCAACCGCATGCCAGATGGTGTTAAGGACACCTTAGTGACAGATAGCTCTGGACTTGCCCCCGTGGGGCACAAGATCGTGTGTGTGTGTGTGTGTGTGTGTGTGTGTGTGTGTGAGAGAGAGAGAGAGAGAGAGAGAGAGAGAGAGAGAGAGACACTACTAGACTATGACGGCTCAGTGGTCAGAACTGTGATGGGGGGAACCTAGGGCCATCTTCTGGAGGAAGGGGCATCTCTACACTGAACCCTGAAGGAAGAGGGAACATGGGTCAGTCAGATAGAAGGGTCCGTCGTGTACACAGCCCGGAGGTGCCAGAGGGCCCAGCACACTTAGGGAATGGCAAATTCTGCTCATGGTGTGAGGAGCAGGGAAGTGAGACTGGCTGGAGAGGTGGGTAGGAGCCCGCCTGTGGGACTCAGGAGAATGGTGAGGAATCTGGACTTTGTCCTGAGAGCAATAGGGAGCTATGAGAGGCTTAAATAGGGAATGGGCATGGACAGATTTAAACAGATCCCTCTAGCTGCCATGTAGAGGATGAGAAAGAATGGAGGCTGGGAGCCCAGGGAGAAGGCTGGGGCTACACAGAGTGGAGCCATGGAGAGGGGAGGAAAAGGCAGGTAGACAGGCCAGAGGGAGGCAGAGAGAGGCACCTAGGATGAGGCTGAGGCCTGTGGCCTGAGGACTAGAAGACAATAGGGCCCTCCATGAATGGAGATAGGGAGTGGGAGGTTGGGGGAGGAAAGGGGAGACTAGATGGCCAGTTTGGGACATGGTGGGTATGAGGGACCTAGGGAACACCCAGGAAGAAATGAGGAGGAAGCTGCTCAAGACAGGCTGGCAGTTCAGGTGAGAAGCCAGGACTGGCAGCAGCCATGCCAGAGTCACCAGCATACAGGAAAGCAACCAGGACAAGGCATAAGCAGGACAGAGGGGACCAGGACTGGGTTCCAGAGACAGTGGGTAGGGGGAGACTTGGCAAGAGGCTGGAGCACGGAACTAGGTGGGGAGAACGGTGGTCTGTGCTAAGGACTGACAGTGGCGATGGGGGTGTCTTTGAAATGTGCTAAGGATGTGGTAACCGATCAGGTCAGCAGGGAAGGAAGGAAGCAGAATCAGAGGGGGGGGGGGGGGGCAGGGGGCAGAGAGATGGAGGCAGGACTGTGGTTATGCAAGATCCAGGCAAGGGCTTTGGGCCTGCCAAGCTTTCACTAGCCAGGGTCCAGCTGGTAGGCATCATTTCGGATACCACAGAGGGGATGGAGGATGCGAGGTTAGCCCTGTGATCAGCTGAAAGGGAAGCCATGGATGCCTCTAGTTTAGAGGGACAGAGAAACAGGCTGCTACCAGAATGCAGAGGCACATGACACCAGCCAGACCCCAGGGCCTGGCCAGCAGCAGCTGGAACCACAGAGGCAGTGCTGCCTGGGGGAGAGGCTGGGAAAAATGTCTGGCTTCTTCCCTCTTCCCACTTTACCTCACCCAACTGACACGAAGGTGGAGCAGGGGAAGGGTAAGAAATAGGGCAAACAGGCCCTGGTCAGGCCCACAGTCCAAGAACAGCCGATCCCCATGTGCCCACAAGACCAGCCAGTCGTCCTTGGAGCACCCAAACTTTGGCCCAGCCACTTGCCCTAAGACGTACCCGCAACGGAGAAGTTGTTTAAAGGGGGCAGCGTCTGGTCAGGGGCCTCGGGCCGCTCCTTATAGCCAATGAAGGAACCATCACTCTTCAGCAGGAAGTACCGGGGCCTCCACGTCTTGATGTATTCACCTGAACGAAGGCAGAGGAGAGGGAGAGAGGTCAGGGCAGACAGCCCGGTGTAACCATGCCTCACAAGGGGCACCGGGGTGGGAGGAGGGTGGATGAGGGTAGGCAGGAGAGTGCCTCTCCAAGAGAAACCCTTGAGGTCGCCCCTGCTGATGAAGGCTGGTGCCGGGCTGGGCCCAGTGATTCAGAGGTCATGCCTGGCAGGAAGGTGCCTGCTGCAGTGGCCCAGGGCACCAGCTGCCTCAGCGTGTGGCCAACAGCAAGCCATCCTTGCCAGCACGTGGCCCAGTCCCAGGAGAGGCCCAAGCTTCCAAACACACATGCCCTGTGGCCCTGTAAGGCCAAATCCCATGGGCTGGTATTCACCAGTACAGCCGTGCAGTTGGATCAAATGTCAAAACATTGTGCCAGTCCGGGTATAACTGTTGCTGTGCCCTCCAAGTGTCCCTTGACCCCTTCTATTTGTTCTAACTGTGAATATCCAAGCACCCTGTGTATGCACACACACACACACACACACACACACACACAAGAACCCACTCCTCACAAGTCTGCTGAAGAAAATGAGATGGGCTGCGAAATAGGTGAAGGAAATTAAGAGGCACAAACTTCCAGTTATAAAATAAATAAATCATGGGGATATAAAGTACAGCATAGGCGATACAGTCAATAAATATTGTAATTACTTTGTAAGGTGAGAAATGATAACTAGACTTATCATGGGGATCATTTCATAATGTATATACTAGGTGTACTGGTTAATAATGGAGGATTTTGTAATCAAAGAAAACACTATAATTTCAAGAGAAACATCAAAAGTGCTTAATTCAAAGCAATGTCCATCGCTAGCTACACATTTCTCCCATCTTTCAGGTAATTTGTGGATACCGTCCCAATAGAACTTTTCTTGTTCTGAGGCAAACCATTCAGAGACCCAATTTTCCACTTTATGTTTTGAAGTGCTGCTTAGAAAGTGTGTGTGCTATCGATCAGAACAAGTGGTAATTTGAAGGAGCAAGGTCTGGTTAGCAGGTGGGTTAATACTTCCCAGGCAAGATCTTTTAATGTGTCTTTAACTGGTTTTGAAGTGTGTGATGGTGCGTCATTATGAAGCAAAATTACTTTGCTGTGTCTTCTGGCACATTCTGGTCATTTCATGATCAAAGAGTGGTTCAAATTGATTATTCGTTGTCAGTGGTGATCAGTATTAATGGTTTCACCTGGTTTTAGAAGGTCATAATACACCACAACTTCCTGATCCCACCAAACGCAGAGCATTGTCTTCTTTCCGAAGCGATTTGGCCTTGCAGTGGATGTTGATGGTTGACCTGAATCAACCCATGATTTTGTGCATTTGGGTTTCTCAAAATAAATCCACTTTTCATCGCCAGTCACAATTCGATGCAAAAAAGACTTTCTTTCGTGCCATTGGAGCAACATTTTACTAATGACTTTTCGGTTTTCTATTTGTCTTTCGTTCAGTTGATGTGGCACCCATTTTCCTTCCTTTAAAATCTTTCCCATTGCTTGTAAACGATCAGAAATTGTTTGCTGAGCAACGTTTAATCTTTCTGCAAGTTGTTTTTGAGTTTGAAACGCATCTTTATCCAATAATGCTTGTAATTGTTGGTCTTCAAACTTTTTCGGTTGACCTGGACATTCTTTGCCTTTCACACCGAAATAATCTCTTTTAAAGTGTTTAAACCAACGTTCACAAGTATCTTGAAATGGAGCATGTTCACCATAAGCTTCCCGAAGTATTCAGCAGCACTTTTCTTCAAAATAATGAATTAAAACTTCCCACAAATGCTCTTTTTTTGGCATGAAAATCTACAATTTTAAGTGTAAAAATATCTATGATGTTAACACCTTCTGAAAATTTGACATATGAAGTTTTGAAGCTTGTTGTCAATACAACAAAACAGCATACATATCAAATTGCATATATATCAACATATGTGTAACTCCATCTAGTGAAAAAAATCCGCATTATTAACCAGTACAGTACACCTGGTAAATATCAAATTCCTGAGGTACAACTGAAACAAATAGGACAGTGTACATCAATTATATTTCAATAAAATAAAAGTTTTCAATAAAATAAAATGCTATTTAAGTCCTCAAAAGATAAAAAAAGATGGTGAAACAAAACTTGTATATAAATGCCCATAGCAACATTATTCATAATAGTAAAAAGTGAAAATGACCCCAAAGTCCATCAACTAATGAATGGATAAACAAAGTATGGCATATCCACATAATATAATACTATTCAATCATAAAAAGAAACAAAATATGAACACACGCTACAACACAGATGAACCGTAACTAAAAGAACCACAAATTAGATGAGCATATTTATATAAAATGTCCAGATTAGGCAAATCCGTAGACATGAACAGCAGTGTGTGAGACTGTGCACCACAAGAGGCACCTAGGTGGGAGGAGGGAGGACAGGAAAGCAGGCAGGAGCACGGTAATAAAATGTGTTAATATTAATTGTGGAGATAGTTGCACACTCTGGATACTAAAAGCCACTGAACTGTACAGTTTAAAAGGCTGAACTGCACCCGGCTGGCATGGCTCAGTGGTTGAACATCAACCTATGAACCAAGAGGTCACGGTTCAATTCCCGGGCAGAGCACAGTCCCAGGTTGTGGGCTCAATCCCCAGTGTGGGGTGTGCAGGAGGCAGCAGAGCGATGATTCTCTCTCATCATTGATGTTTCTACCTCTCTCTCCCTCTCTCTTACTTTCTGAAATCAGTACAAATATATTTTTAAATAAGTAAATAAAAGGCTAAATTGTATAGTATGTAAATTATATCTTAAACTGTTAAAAACTATGCGATCACAAGCATACAGCCTCCAGCTTAGGGCCCAGCACACACTGCAGGCACTCAATAAATGCTCTTATCATCAGCTTACTTTGGCACATGTGAAATAGGATGGCAAGGTGAGCTCTGGGCTATATTTGCTGTGCGGCCGCCAGTAAGTCATTTCACTTCTGAATCCCTGTTTCCTCTTAAGGGGCTATCCATTAAACCAGCGGTTCTCAACCTGTGGGTCGCGACCCCTTTGGGGGTCGAACGACCCTTTCACAGGGGTCGCCTAAGACCATCGGAAAACACATATATAATTACATATTGTTTTTGTGATTAATCACTATGCTTTAATTATGTTCAATTTGTAACAATGAAAATACATCCTGCATATCAGATATTTACATTACGATTCATAACAGTAGCAAAATTACAGTTATGAAGTAGCAACGAAAATAATTTTATGGTTGGGAACTGTATTAAAGGGTCGCGGCATGAGGAAGGTTGAGAATCACTGCATTAAATGATACTGATGATGATGATGATGATGATATAACATTATAGTGGTACTTTGTGCCACATACTGTCCTAAGTATATCTTATAGGTTTTAACTTACTAAATTCTTTCAATTTTAGATACTAAGTAATTTCATGTATATAAAGTTCAAAAACTAGCAAAACCCCAAGTTTAACAACAGATTAAAAGGATTACACACCATGACCAAGTGGGTTTTATCCCAGAAATGCAAGGGTGGTTCAATATATGAAAATCATTCAATTTTATACACATTATTAAATGAAGGAAAAAAGACACATGATCATTTCGATTGAGGCAGAAATAGCATTTGACAAAATCCTACATCCTTTCATGATAAAAATACTCAGCAAACTAGGAATAGAAGGGAAGTTCCTCCACATGATAGAGAGCATCTATGAAAAACCCACAGCTAACATCATACTCAGTGATGAAAGACCAAAAGGTTCCCCTAAGATCAGGAACAAGACAACAATGTCCACTTTCACCACTGCTATTAAACATGTTATTGGACATTTTAGTCAGAGAAAAATAAAACGATAAAAGGCATCTGATGTGAAAGAATAACTATCTATATTTGAAGACTAGAGGCCCGGTGCACGAATTCGTACACCAGTGGGGTTCCTCGGCCTGGCATATGGGATCAGGCCGAAACTGGCTCTCCGATATCCCTTGAGGGGTCCTGGATTGTGAGAGGGCACAGGCCAGCCCTAGTGATCCCACCGGTGCACGATCAGGGCCGGGGAGGGATGCAGGAGGTTGGCCCACAGGGGAGGGACCGCAGGAGAGCTCCAGGGCATGTCCAGCCCATCTCATTCAGTCGAGATTGGCCAGACCCCAGCAGGAAGCTAACATACCAACTGGAGCATCTGCCCCCTGGTGGTCAGTGCACGTCACAGCTAGCGGTTGAGCAGCCTCAGCATATCATCAGCATATTACGCTTTAATTGGTTGAACGGCCAACTGGTTGACCGAACACTTAGCATATTAGGCTTTTATTATATAGGATGACATGATCCTATATATTTAGAAAATCACAAAGAATCCACGAAACAATTACTAGAACTAATAAACAAATTCAGCAAAAGAACAGGCTAATCAGTTGTGTTTCTATACACCAGCAGTAAACAATCCAAAAAAGATTAAGAAAACAATTCCACTTACAATAGCATAAGGAGGTAAAAGATTTATGCACTAAAAACTATAAAACATTGCTGAAAGAAATGAAATACCTAAAGAATTCAAAGACATCTTGTGTTCACAAATTGAAAGATTTGATATATTTAAGATGAAAACACTACCAAAGCGATCTAAAGTCAGCACATCCCCTAACGATATTCCAACATCCTCTTCTGCAGAAATGAAAAAGCCAATCCTCAAATTTACATGGAATTCAAATTCACATGGCCAGGGACCCCAAACAGCCAAACAATATTGAAAAAGAACAATAAAGTAAAAGTACTCACACTTTCTGATTTCATTACAAAGCTAAAATAACTGAATCAGTGTGGCATAGGATTGACATATAGGCCAATGGAATAGAATTGTCAAAAACAAGCAAACAAACAAAAAAACCCATGGTCAACTGATTTTCAACAGGAGTGTCAAGACCATTCAACAAATGGTACTGGGACAACTGAATATTCACA